GTTACTGGTACTTCTGATTCGACTACAGTTACTGGTACTTGTGATTCGACTACTGCTACTGGTACTTCTGATTCGACTGTTGCTGGTACTTGTGATTCGACTACTGCTACTTGTACTTCTTATTCGACTGTTACTGGTACTTCTGATTCGGCTACTGCTACTGGTACTTCTGATTCGACTACTGTTATTGGTACTTCTGATTCAACTACTGCTATTGGTACTTCTGATTCAACTACTTCTACTGGTACTTCTGATTCGACTACTGATACTGGTACTTCTGATTCGACTACAGTTACTGGTACTTCTGATTCGACTACTGCTACTAGTACTTCTGATTCAACTACTGCTAATGGTACTTCTGATTCGACTGTTACTAGTACTTCTGATTCGACTACTGTTACTGGTACTTCTGATTCGACTACAGTTACTGGTACTTGTGATTCGACTACTGCTACTGGTACTTCTGATTCGACTGTTGCTGGTACTTGTAATTCGACTACTGCTACTGGTACTTCTTATTCGACTGTTACTGGTACTTCTGATTCGGCTACTGCTACTGGTACTTCTGATTCGACTACCGCTACTGGTACTTCTGTTTCGACTACTGTTACTGTTACTTCTGTTTCGACTATCTCTTGGAATTTTACTAGTACGACCACTTGTAGCACCTCCCTTAGTGGGAGGTGGAGTCCAACTGGGTCCACTCGGCACGGCGGCCACTGATTTGCCTATTGTAGTCAGCCCCGGGTGAGTATGATGATGGAGAATTTGGTGGAATGAAGATCGGCAGGGGAAACCAAAGTACTCGGAGAAAACCTGCCCCAGCGCCACTTTGTCCACCACNGGACCAGACCCGAGATCGAACCCGGGCAGCCGCGGTGGGAAGCCAGCGACTGTTGGGGGCTGCTTCAGTTTTATGTTGTCCCGATCTGTGCAACATTGCATCCACTAAGGCTCCACACGCAACATTCTCTCAGATAAATCCTTGTTCTACTGGACCCATGAATTACCTTACCGAGAACCTACCGTGGATACAGGGGTGGTACTTGACCGGGTCGGCCATAAAGAGGAGACATTTTGTTACAGAAGATGTTTAAATTGATACTGAAAATTTGTTTACGTAATAAGAGCAAACACTGAAGCCTTAATATTGATTATTCATTTACTAAATCTGTAGAGTTTTGAGTTCTCTCCAGTCGGAGTAAGTATTTTTACCTGGCAATGGATAAATGCATGGGTACTTAATGCCTGTTTGCAATTAGGGATGACTTCATCGTAGTCTTAATTACCCAGTTTACCTAATATAACGCACATCCGAAATTCAGAACTTCACTTCCCTTTCTCGAATTAGACACATTTCCCTCCCTCTCATTCTCCTTAGTAATATCAAAAGCACAGATATTAGCTTCTTACTCACTACATAAGTCCTGTGTAAAACTATCGCTAGCTCAAGTTACAAAAAGCTGCAGACTTTGAGGTGATGGTCTTATATTGCTTTTTGTAGGCTCTGTATATCTCTCAGCGGTGAGGGGCAGCTGCGGGAGATGCTACAGGGAAGAGAAGACCTTCTCAACTTTATAGGATGGGGACTTTTCTAAACGCTTTATAAAACAAGCGATTACATGTATAATATGAATTTCATGGGGACGAGTCCTTCTTGCGAAGGCAGCAATTTCTGAGTCACATAAGGCATTCCTAGAATTTTATAGAACCCAAATGTTAATTACAGTCTCCACAAGAGCCCGCCACCGGTCTCTGTCTTCAGTCATATGAATCCAGTCCAATCCCCTTCCCCACAACACTATTTCTCTGGCATCCACTTCAATATAGTGTCAGTAATACTTGTGGTAAGAAAATCATGATACGTGGTAACTCGGATCTGTTGTCTATGAGAAAGAAGTACTGGGCACTCACACCAGCTGCTTGGTCTAGGGCATTAACACTCTTCGATCGCTCGATTGGGGATTTTAACACCACTCAGTGCAAGGTCCTTCATTTCATTAGGCCGACATTGCGTCTAGAAAAACCAAATGTCAAAATTCATGTTTCCACTATTAAGTCTAAATTGAAGGTCAGAGAATGTAATCCAGGAATGGTCAATTGCTTTGACTTAAGAGTTTCATAAGCTACACGTCTTGGGCAATGCATTTTTATATTTATTTTTACAGTATATAAGCCGGGATAACGTAGTCTGTATAGTGACTGGATACGGGTTGGACGCCTGAAGGATCGTTAGAGTCCTGCTAAGGTCAAATATTTTTTTCTTCTCAAAGTCGCCCACACTGGCTCTGGGGTTCACCCAACCTCCTATCCAGAAAGTACTGGGGGCACTCTCTCCGGGATTAAAGCGGCAGGGGCGTGAAGCTGACCACTCACCTCCAACTA